TAATAACATGTTATACTGTAAACCAAATAAAAACAGTTTCTTTACAAAGTATATTTATGTTTATATCCGTTTTTTAATTCTGAATTGTAGGCATTTATGTGGTTAGTTCAGACTTGAGCTAACTTGTTAAACCAGCTAAGAAGAGCTAATTGGCTAATGTATCTAACTCTTGCTATCCCTTGTGGGCAGCTCTGGCTAACTATGGCTAACGTGGTTAACTTAGCTAATGTGGCTAATTTAAAGCTAATTTTCTTATAATTGAAACCAGATAATACTTATGAAGGCTTGCTGTGTGTGGGGAAGCATCTCCACAAACCTTGTCCTTAAGGGGCGCTTTATTATTCTGTTTCTGGAGCCATTATATATTCCTTGGCTAAAATCTTCCCTTTATCCGTCTTTATGAATCATGTTTTAAAACACATTTTAATTCCAATATTTATATTAAACCCCAAATATTCGGTAAGAATTACACCAAATGGCAAATATTTTGAAATTGGCTTCAAAACACAAACTAATGCCGCCTTTTGAGCTCTTGATCCCTCAAACTATTTTCCACTCAGTTCTTTTACAGGCAATAGACCTACAGCCTGCTTATCTCTGACCTAAAGATCGTCCATGACATTCAAAAGACGGGGTCAAATCAAACATGTCGATAATGAAGCGAAAACGAGCTTCTGACAGATGTTTTCCACGCATGTCGCCATGGGAACAGCCATTGGGAACTTGAAACAGCAGAGAGCACATTACATTGCATTAACAAGTGGGACGGACGAAAGAGGCCGGGCGCCATGACTGCAGCGACACAGCGTATGTCAAAGAGGCTGAACAAAAGGCTTGACATGGGGCACGCTGGCAGAGTGGGACCTCTCTCAGCTGTCAGAATCTATCATTTGGAATACAGGTTCTCACACTGCGTTTTTGACTAGTTTATTGGATAATGTAATCTTCTATACTGATCAGAGACATGATTTTTGCTTAACATTATTTTGAGAAGTATTCAATTAGCTTTAGAATGATTTGCATGCACTGTATACGGTGGACATTTTAAGCTAAGTTGACATTACATTATAGATGTGGGCTATGAAAGCATCAGAAATGAAATCAATCACCCACTGTCCAAAGTCAAATCAGTCCTCATAACTGTTGTTTTAAGCATGGACTTACAGTGACTCTGGCACAATATAATACATACTGTATACAGTAACTTTCCCTTCTGCCATTTGTTACATTTGTGTCAATCAAAACATTTTCTGATTTAGTTACTTTTGCACCTCAGCTCATAATAATTTTGGCCAGAGGCTGAATAAAATAGATCCAAATTTGGCCGGGGCCAGAGCATTTTTACAGGAATCCATTTTTTTATTTTTGGAAAGTGAGTTCAATTAATTTGGATATTCTCTTCTGGTAAATTCTTCAAATTAGTTATGTTTGGATTGAAGTATTACAGATTCAGAATCAAATGTATATATATATATATTTAAAATTACTGTACATTGAAAGCATTTTTAAAAAAAAATCACATATAGGACATTGTAGCCAAATTAAACGCAACAGTTTCTTAAATACATTTGATGTGAAACAGACATGAAGCCCTGATACTAAGAGCTGAAGGACTACAAAAATCAATATGAAAGAACATTATAGGTAAACATTTTCAAAAGCCAGGTTGCTTTATCAAATGTTTCCTGGATTCTCGCAATTCTGCTACTTTGGCACTAATAGGTTTACCTTTTATATCAATGCTAAAATGTAATATTAAAAAAATGTAAACTTGTATCAGGGCCAATGAAAAATATATCGGACATTTTCCATCTAACAAGTTTGATGTTACAACAGTCAAAAAGGAGACATTTTTTAGCGGACAAACCCGCTAATCAGTTCGTCCTTAATTCTTCCGTCCTTCTCGCATCCTCGCTGGGACACCTGTCATTGAGGGTCTATTCCTCAAACCTAATACTGGTAATTTCCGCTTGTTTATCGTCTTTTCTTCTCTCTTGTTTATCCTTTGACTGATGCAAGCAGCACAACCCTTATTGTGGGCCATCTGCCAACAAGCTGGGATCTCTGCTGTGTTAGCCAAAGTGCGCAAAGACATTCACTCATTTTTATTCAGTTTTTCGAGGTGCAATAGTCGGAGGGTTACAAGGTGTCTCATTAAGCTCATTTAGCCACAATAACAACACAATTTGCCGGTCATAGGTCCTGTCCCGATGCTCAAGATCTCTCCGCAGGTCAGACAGGCTGCAGTTCTTTGTAAATCAAATCAACTCCTCTGGCGAATGTTATTTTCCCGTGCAACATTTGAGCGCGCCTACGATACACAGGGTTGAAAGGAATCCTCACTTTCCTGTTGCATTGTGGGACACCACCTCTGTTCTCATTGGTATTCTGCCATGAAACATACTCCCATCTTCCATCGTTAACATTCTTATTTGCCTTTTGTAGAATTTCAAAGCAAGAGTTCAATATTAGTGCGCAATCTTCCTGGGGCATATAGGTGCGCATTCTTTAAGTTGTTATGTTGAGCGTTTTCCACCGTCTTCAGACTTTGAACAAAGCACTGTCAAGTAAAAAAAAAAAAGAAAATTCTCCGTTTCTGTTCTTTTCTGGCTTTCTAAATTTAAATTCCATAGGGGCCACAGAAAGTTTGAAACAGATTGTTGTCCCAGATGCATTAAGCTCTGGGAACGTGGACAAGAGAGAAACAATGTGAACAAATAAATACAATGGGCCTCATGTATGAAACTTGCGTACGGCAAAATCAGGGTTTAAATGACGCAAACAATTTACACTTTTCCGCATTTATCAATCTGGACGTGGGCGTACGGTACACACAAAATATACGCCAAGTCAGGAGGTGGTGTAAATGTGTACGCTCATTTCACCCTTCGCCACAACACGCCAAACTATGCATGAAATGCAAGATTTGGGCAACAATAAGCATATTCCCACTCTGACAAAATTATAAGCTGCGTTTTCATGAAGCATCATGTTTTGGAATTTGAAACATTCTGGAAACATGCAAACTTCGAATAAATCACAGATCATGATGAGGAGCCTCTTCTGTTTCTATGATTTTAAATCTGACTTCTGTGTGTAATACTTTGATCTGTGTGTTTTTAAAATGTGAAGCACTTTGTGATCATGGACAGTGAAAGGCTCTATACAAAAACACTTTAGGCCACAGGGATGTGTGACCCATCGATTGCTGTGGCAGGCTCTGCGCTGCGCAAGTACGCAGGGCTATTTGTATTCCTCATTCACATCTGGTAAAGCAATGTATGTTTTCATTAGATTTGTGTAAGCCTTACACAGACACACACCCCATTAACGCATGGACCAATGGACTATGGTATTGCTCAATCCAAATGTCTCACTGCCCTGTCCACCCGCTGCACACTCTTGGGAGTGCATGCGCAGCAGCTAAGTTTTGGATCCAGAGTTTCTCTGTCAAATCTGGACCGCAAAAGCTTTCTCAAGTGTACAGCGCTTCATTTCATTCACAAGACGCTGCAGACGCTTCATTCAAGAGAGCCACCCCTGCACAATATATAATATGAATTAATTAATTAATTCTTTATTTATTCACTTCTACAATTCAAGAGAGATTTTTCTAATGTATCAAAACATTTTTGCAAATGTGTTCAAAACGCAGCTGAATATATAACGTATATTTGTTTTTATACATAAACATGAACAAACAAACGTGCCACAAGCCTTTTGAGGCATCCAAACAGTCTTTTTGGCCGGCTTCCATGCTGACCTGTCGCAAAAACGGGGCGTGAAACAGGCGATTGTTGCATAATTCTAGGTGTGACTTTCATAAATACGTTCATTTTCAGCCGCGGGATTTATTAACGTTAACATCTGCAGGTGCGTACTCACAGAACTGGGTGGATCTCACATGTTCATAAATCCGACCTTAAATTGGATCTTGCATAAATGGAATGTACATCCAAAGTTTACACCAATGTGAACAAATAAATACAATGTGAACAAATATGGTCAGCATTTATCTCAAGTAATAATTTTGTTGTAATCAAACCATTCCCATGCCGCAAAGTGTCTTGTTACCGTGATGATAAAATGGCAGTATCGAGGTAATCAAATCAATTCTCCACTTGTTTGACACAGGTGTTTCTGTATCGCGCCGGCTTAGATCTTATGCTACACTCTCAACCTCTGTCAGATTAGACGGTGGTTTTCCATCAGAGTGAAGTTTGTGATTGAGCTATTCTCAAAGATGCTTTTTGTCAAACCGTTGCATTGTATGTGTATGTTTAGGTGTTTTGCAGACTCCAATACCATCCTGTATTTTTGCTAAATCTTCCTTCCTATGAACTCTCACACCCTGTCCCTGCTGAAGAAATGCAGTCCAACGGCACAGACAAAGAAGATTTTTGAACTTAGTTATTGTTTGATGTGGATTGGACCAGGGATTCCAGAGAATTAGATTTATTACTGCTGTTGGTGTTAGCCGCATCTGTGTAGCATTGGCCGCTAACACAGCCACTAACAGATGTGGAGCTCCCCCCTGGAAGTTAAAAAAATTGCTGCAATGTCGATAAAGGGTCATATTTCTGCGTCAATGCTGTTAAAAGTAACATCCAAGCCCTATTTATTTAGTTATTGACCAGAACTTTCATCTTTGACATTGCTTCTGTTGTTCTCAGAACAACGAATCACAAAGTTAAAAACCACCAAAACTAAAATGTTTTGAATGGTAGATTGTAAGCTTCAGATAAATATGAATAAATAGCAATATACTAAATCAATATAAAGAAAAATATTGTCGTACAGGTCGCCACGGCAACCAGCTTCCAAAATGAATTAGAAGGTGATCGTCCCTTCCGGTTGCCATGGCAAACATTGATATGTCATTGATGATGTCGCCATGGTCAGGCAGTTCTTGAGGGGCCATCCATCTGTGAAGTTAACAGGACAGGGCAAAGTCCTTCTTAACCTGTTTCTATAGAAGCTAATACAGGGACTTCAAAGACATGGCTCGCAGGAGTCCTCGACTGGTGGAATTGGGGTATTACGATGTGGATGGCAGCCCCCGCATCTCTTACTCAGATAACATTCGCAGGAGTTCCAACATCTCCACAAATATGCGGCGCCACAGCTACCCACTGGAGGCGAGGAAGGCCGCACATGTCATCCATGTGTCTGGGCCTGCAGTTCAGCCTAGGTCCTGGTTCAGCTTGGCCTGGGTCATAGTCCAGCTTCTTCTTGCTGGCCTTGTTGTGTCCTGGGTGACGATGAAGTTGGCTACTTATGGTGATGTTCAGCAGCTGCAGGAGGAGGTAAAATATTTGCGGCAGCTGGAGGAGGACATCAATCATTTGCATCAGCAGCTTGCCCATCACAAGGCAATAGTGAAGGCTCCTTTGGCCAACTTTGCATTGGAGGCTCATGGGGCTCAGGTGATGACTGCTCTGACTTCCAAGACTCACGAGCAGATAAATGGCCCGTCTTGGCTCAAAGTTCTCGGTCCAGACACCGTGATCAAAGGTCATAATTACCCTTTGATTCCTGGACAGTGCTGGGCATTCACAGGTCAGACTGGGAGGCTTTCCATAGTTCTACCCCTGGAGAGCCACATCACCCAAGTAACTGTAGGACACATTCTGAGGGAGCAGTCTCTTACAGGAACAATTCAGTCGGCTCCAAAGTTTTTCTCTGTGTACGGACTGAAGGACTTTGGACCAACAGAGGTAAGACTTGGAACGTTTCTCTATGACGCAGATGGGGACTCGTTCCAAACATTTGAGATCCTGGAGCAACACAAGGGTGAGACTTTCCGGTCTGTGAGGTTGGAGATTCACAATAACCATGGGCACGATGCATTCACCTGTACAGCTTCAGAGTACATGGGGGAATCCCTGATTCCAGCACCAAAACGTCTACCGAGTCAGCATACAGCTGGTTTGGGATTGCAAACCGCCTCTACCAAACAGCTAAGGCATTGTATTATCTCATAAAATTCACTCAGAGGTTACTGCCAATGACTCAGGCCACACCCATAGAGCCAGAAATGCAAGCATTTCTGTCTAGGGATGTAAATCGGTGACCGTTTAACCGGTGGTTGACCGTCACAGCATTAACCGGTCAAAGCTGTCGGTTAAAAAAGAGAAAAGGGGGAGAGGGGAGGTCTCTTCATAACGCTATTTTAAGCCCTATTTGCACGATGTGACGAGCGGGTCCCTATCTAGCTGTGTGCGCCAATGTAACAGTAAACTCTGGGCCGACTCTCACGCCGTACGCGCCACATATGCACGCACACATGTACACGCACACACACACACATTTCCCCCCCTCCATTGACACGTAACATCCACACGCATCATCTCTCCCCTCTGTTACCGCCTGCTAGTTGCACACTGGTGCGGGTCAGAACTACATTGGAGCTTATATTTACACACACAAACATACATGTATTGTACACACACACATACCGGTCTGTCGCGCTCCTCTGTGTCACGGAGCCCAAAGCATTCTTGCAAATACACGGCTCCAGTCAAACCACATGGACCATGTTTGTGCTGCTGGTCCTTGGCATCAGCTCCACACTGATCACTTTTAAACTTTAGCGGAGACCTGCGAGACGCGGCTCGTCACTCGCTGCCCTGACCATGTGGACGAGCTGTCTTTTGCTTAAAAATGCTTTAAGCCGCAGCACAGAAGAATGGGAAGATTAAAACAGCAGTTCTCTGTGCGCAAAGGTGCTGAAGCTGCTGCGGGTTTTGGTGCTGCTGTCTCGGCTCTGATCCAGTAGAACGCTCAGCTGCACTTATGAAAAGTACGCGGCTCGAAATGGCTGTTATTTCAAAGAACGTGGACTATTTTAAACTACGCGGTTAACCGGTTTCAACCGGTTAATGAGGCTCGGTGGTCGGTCATGAAAATTCATAGTTTTTTACATCCCTATTTCTGTCCCACTTGTGACAGAGATTTAAGATGACTTTAATCTCTGTCTCGCCCTGTCCCCATCATCTAGATGGGACAGGGGGGACAGGGGTTAAGTCGGGTGGTTTGTAACGCAAAACATATTTTTGTTTACATTTCTTAGGAGACCCTTTTATCAGCTGTAGATTCCATTGAAGAGGGGCATATGACTAGCCTGGCCTTAGCCATCCGTACACTCCGTTCAATCATCATTTCACTGCATGTAATGTCTGGGTCTAGTCCCTTTGTTAGCGATTACAATCGGTTGAATTTCGACCGACCATTCAGAGATTCCAGCAGGAACTGACCCACATGTGACAGAGAATTAAGCTGTATCTAGACGGGGACAAGGCGAGGGTTAGGGTTAAGTCAGGTGGTTTGTAACTTGTTTATGGGCATAACTTTCTTAGCAGGCCTTTTTTATCAGCTGTAGATTCCATTGAAGGGGATATGACATGTTCTTGCCCAGCTCTGTAGAAGGAGATTGACAGCTGTTTAAAGGTGACTTGAGAAATGAAACAAAATAAGAAGTGTTCCATGTCACGATTACAACCACTAGACCCCAGACCCTACCTGAAAGTCCTCCTCTATTTCTCGCTCAAGAAATTAAAGCACATGTGAGGTTGATCTATGTCCCTGTGCACCTCCTCACACTTCTCCAGCCTAGTGGACACTACCCAGTGGACACTGCCTTTGCCTATTCTTCCCTCCTCTCCAACCCAGTGGACACTGCCTTTGCCTACTCCTCACTTGTCCCCAGCACAGTGGACACAACCCAGTGGACACTGCCCAGTGGACACTGCCTTTGCCACCTCCTCACACGTCTCCAGCCCAGTGGACACTACCCAGTGGACACTGCCTCTAACTGCCCAGCCACCCTGCACCCACAGGCCCCACCATATTGACTAGAGTGGGACCCCGGCCGCGTCGTACCAGGCGACGCCAGGGTTCTTTTATCATGCTAGCCACGGTGATTTTTGGACTACAATTTGTCTGACTCGTCACCAAAGACCTGTGTACCATGGGAGACCCAGACAACAAAGCTCCCAGGATCATCTGAGTACTCAAACTCCCCCACCATGTTAAGGAGGCAGTCAGGGGGACAAAAACATTGGAAATGATTAAATAAAGAAATAAAGACTACTTACTTACTTACTTTGTTCATGAGCACTTGCCGATTGGGCTTCATTGAGCTAGCAGGGTAGCATTGTCTATCTGTATACAGTCTATGGCTTTGTCCAAATTGGTAGTCATCGAACCACGTAGGGAGGATTTGTAGGCATTGAATGAAGGAAACTTTGGAGCCACCTTTATTTCCAGTTCAACATCAAACATTAATTATCAGATGATATATTATTATTATTATTGAAGATGATGACAGAAGCGAGAAGCTGAACACACTGACTCATTAAAGCCTCCAATCAACACCATCCTTTCAGTCATTCCTTCATAGCGATTGTACATGTTGTTAGTGGTAGGGGAAACCTACCTAGACATGGCCTGGAGTTGGAATTGAACCCAGGACCTTCTTGCTGTGAAACACAAGCTCTGACTCTCCAGGTAGACAGTCTAAATTCAGCATGGATTTTAAAAAAAAATGTGTGTGATAAAACTTTAATAGATTACTTGATCAATCCAACTTAACAATAAATATATTACTCAATTACTAAATCAATCAACAGCTGCAGCCCTTATTTAGTTGTAACATTTTAGAAATTGTCCGCACAAAGACGAGAGGGGCAATGCGGTTTTGTTTTCTCTGAATTATACAGTGGGGTGACAGTAGCTCAGTTGGTAGAGCATTGGCCTTAAGGCCAGAAGGTCGTGGGTTCAATTCCCACCTCTGCACCTTCTCCACCGACTCCCACTGATGACTGCTGTCGTTGTGTCCTTGGGCAAGACACTTAACCCCACTTTGCCCAAAGCCCCCACTGAAAGATCAAGGCTATGCTCACAGTCAGAGAGCAGCCGTCCTCCTGTGGACTCACCACCTGCAGAGGGTCAGTGAGGGGCTGGTGCTATGAGACTTGGGTGGCATCTCTGATTGCCACCCCCCTGACCCAGAAATGGATTAAAGGGTAGAAAATGGATGGATGGATGGATGGATGAATTATACAGAGGTTACCTCCTGTTCAATGTTACAGCGGTGCTTTGAAATGGTTAAAACACTATTCTACCAACAAGGAACAAGATGTACATCAGTTCTGGACTCGGCAACAAATAACTGCGAACATTCTAAATTTGTTTGCCTTTATAAACCAAAGACTAATTATGCAGATAGGTTTGTCTGAGCTTTTCTTGTCGGTTTCATCCACCGTGTAAAACGTAAACTAGGATACTACTGAGACAAGACAAACATATGCATTTAGGTGCAGAGGGAAAAGACTTGTTTATTTTTTATATGTTTTGTTAAGGTCAAGGAATTGTTTATTGTCCCTGTGGGTAAATATGCATTTGGCCAATTTAATGATTGGTCTCCAGGAAGAATAGTGCCAGCTGAAGTGTGTTGATGTAGGAATAAACTGTATTTCACCATCATGTTCCCTGCCAAACCAATCAGAGATAACTCGGGTTTATTGAGTTTATAGAGTACATTTAGACTTCTATATGCAATTATACTCAGTCAATGTCCTTGCTTTTTATTATATAGTTTTTTTTCCATTCTGGAAGATTCGCTACTTAAGATCACAGGCCAATGTCCACCACTGTTGAGAACTACCAAAAATCATATTTTGGTCGTTAGGTGTAGTGCCCTTGTGCCTGCAGAAATGGACAAGATAAGTATCTCAAGTAGGCCATTTTTCTTTTCTTTTCCGGTATGAGTGGTTTGTTATTCTACAAAACAGCGCCCAAAAAGCACTCAGTTCTCCATTATGGCAGCATTTTAAAGAGTACTTCATATACATTTGGCTTCTCCGTTGTAAACACGTTCAGGAAAAAACATGTTCCAGAAAAAAAACAAATATCATGAATACTTGCTGTTAAAAAAACATGATTGCAATTTCATAAAAACAGCATTTATCCGTGACATTAGAGATGCAAACATTCTCACTCCATATTCAATCATGTTGTATACTGTATGTTTCCAATGTGTCCTCCACAGCCACATCCACAGAGCGCCCCAGAGAAGAAAATCCACAACCTCTCAGGCTTACACTATTTGCTCCAATACACCACAAATGTTACGTCCTTTTTTATGCATTGTGGCTATATATATTATTTTAATCCTGTGTGTCTTTTGAATGTTTTAAGGTTTTTAATTACTTGTGATTTTATTGTTTTTAATTTATTTTAATTTTTTTGTATATGTACAGTAAATGTAGATTTGAATGTTTATGATTTGCTCGATATGATGTGGGTTGTGAGGCGCTTTGAGTTGCCTTGCGTTGGAAAGGCACTATACAAATAAAAGTTGATTGATTGAAGCTAGTGCCATGGCATCAGCTGGTTGTGCAGAAAGTAGTGACTAACCATAACCCACGAGAATAAGGATTCAGAATATGGCTAAAAGGGGCGACAGTAGCTCAGTTGGTCTTTGGACCTAATGGTCGTGCATTCGATTCCCCCACGACCCATGTCACCTGCTCCCTCTAGTGTCTGCTGTCGTTGTGTCCTTGGGCAAGACACTTAACCCCACATTGCCTGAAGTCCCCACTGAAAGACCAAGGCCATGTCTGCATGAAGAAACAGCCATCATCCTGTGGACCCACCACCTGCAGGAGGATCAGCGAGGGACTGGTGCATTGTGTTTTGGGTGGCCGCATCTGATTGCCAACCCAGAATTCCCTAACCCAGAAATGGAAATAAAGGGATGATGATGATGATGATGAATATGGCTAATAGTATCTGTTTGTGTTTGACATGTTTCCTATAGGTTTGTATCACATCTCTTTGCTTCTGCTGTGAATGCTGTGTTATAAAAGCACCAACTGTGCGAGCATGTAATCATATTAAATGAACGAATCAAACCAAAATTGATGACCTGTAATTGAAATGCATCTTAAGCAAAGACAAAGAAATCAATCATAGAAACAAA